AAAGGTAATTTTGAAAAAAATAAATGAAGAGTGTAATGAGTACAAATAAAATAATTAAAAGTTGTAGTCGAAGTTTTGTAAGTGAAAAAATTTAAGTAATTTTTTTTTTAAATCGTAAAGGATCTTGAGATATATTTAAATATATAAAAATCAAAATTTATTAAGAAATTTTCTTCAACTGAAAAAATAACTATTTCATTCTATCTTTTTATATATTTAGTGAGAATAAACATTTAATAGTTTAAATTCGTTTAAGAAATAAAACAAAACAAAATAAATTAACATAAAAACAAAACAAAACAAAAAAAGGAAATTCTAATAACTAAAAAACAATCAATTAAAAAAACACATTTTTTATATTTTTAGTGAATTTTTTATTCGTTAAGATGTTTCTTTCTGTTATATACTTTAGATATTGCAATTGTATACGTTAGATACTACTTCGGAATCCACGTTCGGCACATTATGAATTTTCACACAGATACCATTTGTTTATTTGACATCGCCGGAGTTGAAACAATTCTAAAGGTGATAACTTTGTAGCTAAATTAAGAATCCAGGGCCGCCGAGAGCCGTCACGCCGCCTGGTACAACAACCCAAGTTTCCCTGTATAATAGATAAAGGATTTTTTTCTTTATTAGGTACCTTCTTTTTATTTGACGCTCTCTAGATATATGTTTCTCGAGACAAACTGTCTTATTCGCCCCCCCCCCCCTCCTTCTATCGGCGGCCTTTTTAAACGCTATTACGTAATAGCATTTAAAAAAGGTATTTAAATAAATTTAAACTAATAGCAGTTTAAAAAAAATCTATTCGCTAAAACAAATAAGCTCCATTTTGTATATCTTATCGTGGACCTTTTTTCCGGAATGCGATAGTACGTTTTTTGTTTTTTTTTCATTTGAATAGATCTATTCTGTTTCCAAGCAATCTATAAAAAAAAAATTATTTTTTATAGATTTTTTTTTCATTAAAAAAAAAATAAAAAATTCAGTTGCTATACTGCATATTTATTTATTATATTTTATTGTAAGTTCTAATTCTGAAGTATGTACAGTATTAAATGTATGATATATTTAGTGATTATATCATTTTGGTATACAATAATACTTGGTATATAATTATTAAGGTATATAGATGTTTTATAGTAGAAGAAAATAGTTTTATATTGCTTACAACTTTGTGATAAGGTCATTACAATCTTCTTGAAGTCCTGCCCGTGTAATATTATAAATCTTTTTGTAAATAATATCAAGGGAAAAAAAGTTATATAGAACATTTATAAACCTTTGACACAAATGACCTATAAAAATTCTATAGAATTTTAATAAAAAGTGAGGAAACAACAGAAAGAGGCAATGCATTCCATTAGGATGCTATTCTATTAGGTAAGAAGTTATGTCAATGCGAATTATTCAAAATATCTCTGACAATGACATGGTTTTGGATTTTGTTACGTAAGTTACGTACAGAACAATTTAAAAAACAAAAAGGTGTTATATTTGGATTTAGGAACTTGACTTCATTAAAATTCTAGTAGATTTTGAAATAAGGGAGAGTGGGTTATTGGCGAACTCCTAAGCGGGAATGCGAATTAAAGACATTATTTATAAAAAATAATTCATATTCATTGCTTATCAATTAGTTTAACTATTCATTCACAAACCCTTAAAAGCAATTTTTATAAATCTTATTATAAAATAAAAATTTATGGCAAATATAAAACCATCGGTATTCGGAATTACGCTATGTACGTGGGGTAATTCCAAACACATCGGAGGGTGATCACAAACACTGTTGTGTAATAATGAATAAAATGCTAAATGTAATAACTAAGTACAAAAATTATACTATGCAACAACAACAAATAAAAGGTTTTATATTGGTAACGACAACAAATAAAAGGTTTTATATCCGTAGAAGCTACAAAAGCTATAAAAGCTACAACAGAATGTTACTCAAGAAAAAAGTTGCATAAAATTATCAGAGAAAGTTAAAATCAAATTATAGTGAACAACATCTGCAGCTTCGTTACACTACTGCATGTCTGGGATTCCCTCTCAGCAGGTAAAAAGAAATAGTCAATTTTTTTTTATAATGCTGTTTTGACCATGTTCGGAGTTACCCCGCGTAACCGGCGAAAAATTCAAGCAGCAGAAGAACATAGGTAGTACATAGTTTTAAAAACATAATGGGAAACATAATTTTCAAAAGTTCTTTTAAAAATATCAAGTATCTGGTTAGCTTTAAATGCTGCATTACTTATTTGATCAGACCACTTAAGTTTATTGTTGAAATAAACTCTCAAGCGGGCTGTAGTAATTTAAGTACTTAAATAATTGTTTAAACGAGTTAATTAAGTCAATTTTTTATACTTGAATAAAATTAAGTAATTTTTTTTCGAATTAAATCAAAAAGAAGTTGGTATTTTGTAAAAATGTGTATAAATCTTAAATTGTATACCCTAAAATTAAAGTAATATAGGTTTATTTAGTTTAAATTTTGATGATTTTGTTATAATATATTGCTGAAAAAGTATATGTTTAAGAGTACCCAAAGAAAAAAGAAGTTATTGCAGGAGATATTTTATGTTATATTAATTGCAAACTAATGTCTTTCTTACGATCGTGAAGATTATAAACCATTTACGAAAAAAAAAAAGACTGAAGAACTTATTTTTAGCTCGAAATTCCAATTTAATAAAGAGCAAGACTTACTTAAATGTTTCGAAGTGCATCAAAAAAGAAACGGCTAAATTTCTAAAAAGCAGTAGTGGTAAAAACAATAGCCTTTTCGACTGAAGTGGCCCCCTTGGCCTTAGGGAGGTGAATGTTAGGAAAGTATCGATGGACCAAATGATTCTCCAAAAATGCTTAAAAAATTGCGCTGTACTATAAAGATTTGAGCACCATTATCAGTTGTTGTAGAAAGATGTTTTAGTGCTTCTAGACTTTTAGTTTATCTATTACAAATTTAAAAACATCTTTAAGTGATAAATTGATTGGAAAAATAGGTTTTTAGAGTCCCATCTTGAAAATTTAGTTTGTTTATGATTTGATATACCTATATAGTACTATAAAACAAAAATGTATGTAATATTTGATTGTTAAGAAAATAACTAAAATTTCTTAAAATTATTTAAGTTACTTAAAAAATTTGAAAAAAATTACTTAAAGTGACTTGAGTAATTTTTTCCCAATACGTAATTCCTTGTGACTTTTCAAGATCGATATTTTCAAAAGGAATAAGACTGTTTGATGAATTTAGCACACCAAAAAAGTAGTCTTAAACATCGAAACCACTATAAAAGCTTATTACTTTGCATTTATTTATTTTAAATTCTATGCCCCAAAGTTTGGACCAAAGTAGGAAGAGATCAATATCTTTTTGGACTAGTTCTAGATCAGATACATTTTTGATTTTTGCAATTAATTGAGTGTCATCAGCAAATAACTTAAAGAAATTAGATAAAAACTCAGACATGTCATTAATAAAAATTAAAAACAAAAGTGGAGAGATAACCGAACCATGAAGAACTCCACTCAGTACATCTATCCAATCAGAAAAGGATTTAACAAAAAAAGCATGTTGTTTTCTATTGCTCAAAAAAGTATTTTTCCAATAAAGGTTTATGTCACTGAAACCGTATCTATTTAGTTTCAGGAGAAGAAGGATATGTGAGACACGATTAAAAGCTCAAGTGAAGTCTAAAAGAATTAGTTGTGTAGAGCAGAGATCATTAAGAGCTTCGGTAATAATGTCTTATACTTTTAAAAAATTAGTCGCACACAAACGATTTCGAACAAATCCATGTTGATGATAGGATAATAAATTGTGGGTGTACAAATGGTCTACCATAATGTCGCAAAATAACTTTTCCATAATCTTACAAGCAATAGAAGTTAGTAAAATAGGCTGATATGAGGGAACGTTTCCAAAATGATGTAACTTTACTAGATACTATGGAGCATTTGAATATAAGTGAAAGTGGCCTAATGAAACTAGCTGAGCAACTTTTTAAAATATAAGCGTGTGTACCATCATTACCCGTACCATTTGAACTATAAAGGGATCATAATAAAGCTTCTAAATTTTTGCTATAGAATACGGAGCTAACGTCTGGAGAACAGATTGTATTAGTTCTATTACTAAACACTGGTAAGCTTTGGTTACTTGTGATTGGAGAGAACGATTTTGAAAGATTCTGCAGTTGATTTTTTATCAAATAGTTGATTACCATTTAAGTCAATAAGAGAACGAATTACACTTTTAAAAGATTAATGACTATTTACAACTAAAGCTACAAAATTTATGCTAATGATACTGCAAAGTTCTATTTACTGTAGTTCTCGTGATGTTTCTGGCATTGATTCCGATGTTTGAAATCACTGAGGCCTTTTTTGATGTTGTATAAAGATAACTTTCAGACACTTTCCAAATTCTTAAAAAAAGGAGGTTAAGGTCCAGTCACAATACTTTACGTAAAGCATTCTCATTTGATATAAACATAACCGAGCTAGAAGTTTAATCCATGTCTGAGAGCAATCGTTCTCAAACATTTAAAAAACCTGTTTTATTCACACAAAAAAAAATCGCTATAACATAATAAAAAATGTTTGCAAAAAATCTATTTAATGATTAATTAAAAGAAAAAATGAAAAACATAACTTTTTATTATATTCTCTATTCAAAGGCGAGAGTGTCATATCTTACTCCCTCAAATATTCAACTTTTAGTCAGTTTTTCCAGGAATATAGTTAGTTAGGCTAGTCAGTTTCAGTGGACAGAATTTCGCTTAAGAAGACTTTTTTAAAGGTGACAGGTACTTTTTATGAATAGCCTCCCCCTCTCCTCTCATTTTATTACTAAAATTCCTCACGCCTCTCGTTTGGATAATTCGATGAAGTTGAAACTTATCTATTTTGCTTAATAAACATTTATTTGAAATTTATCTACCTTGCCTTTAGTAAACATTCAAGAATTTTCTCTTAAAGACGAAAAAAAAAAATAACATCATGAAAAAAGCGAAAAATTAAATTTATATTAGGCCCTTTAATTAGATTATCGGAGCCATTCAACTTCACCTTATATTATCTTGTTATTTATTTTAGTCACCTTATATTATCTTATTATTTTTAATTATTTATATAAAGAGCATTTTATGGAAAATTTGTTAATTCATCTTGAAGCCCAAAGAAGCATATTAGACGGATATTGCTACGGATTGAATCGTTCAATCAAAAGACTAGAAGACAGGTTGTTACATAGATAAATGCTATTTTTTTTTATATATTTATTATTTTTGTAATCTTAAAACAACTTTAAAATTTCATGGATTTTAAATGTATGTTATGTATACAGAAGAAGTTCCAGAAAACAGAAGCGCCTTAAAAATTGCATAGTGATGAATCAAAATACCACATGTGTGAAGAAGAATGTGTAGTCTGTTCCCTTTGTAAAGCATCATTTGCTCCACAGTATATCCAGTACACATAATACACCACATTACATCCATCCATTTGCTCCATAGTACATCATTTGCTCCACAAACGCATTATTTCCTCCACAGTAATGCAATGCGGAATGTAACTAAATTGATAGCCAGTGCGTTTACCAATTTTTTGGTGATGTGACACACTTTGTTTACTTATCACACAAGCATGTCATAGATAAAAAACCTAATATCTGCTGAGTAGATTTTTTCATTTTTTGTGAATATTTTTACTTGATGCATTTGATCCACCTCCTCCTGTAAAACCAGTATTTCATTTTGCAGTGCAAGAATTACTGCATTTTTGCCAGTAAGTTGTTGGCATAACATGGCTTTTTGATAAGAGAAATTATTTTCCGTGAATAGTAGATGTTGTTTCAAACAAAAAAAAAATTTATGAAGTTTCTCTAACTGTAAGTTTAAATATTTTTCCTTCAATTTTTTCTGAAGCTGATGTATATTCTTCTTCTTGCAAATAATAACCTGATTTAAATTTAATTCTGCATGACCTTGTATTTGCCTTATAACTTAATTCTTTTAAATCCTCTTTATGCTTTCTTTTTGTAGAAGCTATTTTGTTTGCCAAATTAGTTAATCTATTTCTCATAATTTTTTTCTGGGGTTTAACTGATCAACTTTCAATCTGGATAGTGGTGGTATCCGAGAAGTGGTCCAGATAAAGAAGATGATGGGTGATCATTATTTACTACAGATAAAACAGTGTTGTGTTGAGTAATGATGAAGAACCTGAAACAGTGTTAATTAAGTTTGCGGTTGACTGCAAGGATTTAGCTAATGTTGTTATTTGGCCTGCAAAATCCTTGTTGCAGATATCAATGAAAAGGTTTGAATTTTTCAAAATATTGTGTGCATATAAATTGCATGTATTCACTAGATGTTTTTGACAATTGGTTTTGACAAATTTTGAGGTTAAAAACCTTATTGAATTGTTCTTGAGTTTTTCTAAATGATTCGCTGTTGGTTGTGAGCCACGATAAAAAACATAATGTTGGGTACCTCCAGGGAGTGCAAAAATTGAGTATAAGAGTGCAATTATTTTTAGAAGATTAAATTAACATATTACAAAAATAAATCAACATGCTTTCAATATTAATACACTTCCGCAGCAGGAACAAAGTTTTTAATTCCAATAAAATTATTGAAAAGGTTAATAACTGCAACAAAAAAACAACAACTATATAACAAACTTTAAACATTCTACTTTTAAAATAAAGTCCAAGTTGATATAAGATTGTAAAAAATAAGGTAACAAAACACATTCTTACGACGGCTACACCAAGCACGCTGTGAAAAAGTAGGTCACAGATTTTTACTTTAAATTTGGTGCCGTAAAAGCTAGATATGCATGTACCTACTTATTCATATAATTTTGTTCTGAATTACAACATATTACAGCAGGCATAAAAAAAAAAAGTTTTTCATAAAAAGTATTATTTTTGTAAAAAAAATCAAAAAAAAAAAAACAAAATTTTTTTTACATATTCTTAAATAACCCAAAGCCAGTACTATTTAAAAGATAAATTCCAACCTAAGTTTAAAAAATGGTTCTAAGTAGATTTGGCAGTGAATTTATCACAAACCACATTATCAAAAACACCTTAATCCTATAAATATTTGCATCTTCATTAAAACAAAAAATTATATTAAAAAAATAAAGATATACACTTTACTTAATTACAAGATGAACTGGTGATGTATCCATTGACATAGGGGTATATGTCTCTTTCTCAACTCTTCCAAATTGAAAATCTTTAAAGTCTTTTAAAATAAAATTGAAATTTCTATATGATAGGAATAATAGATTAAAAAAGAAAAAAATAAGACTTAAGGGTAGGTATAAAGTACGTAAGCCAAAAACTTTGAAATTTGAACCCTATTTTCCCCTGAAACTTTATAGGGGAAAAGTTCCTTTTCCTTATAAAAAGTATGTATGCTTTTGAATTATTGCCCATAGAGAATTGGTATTTAGGAATTGTTAAAAGAGCATTTGACAATTTGGCTTTAGGCAATGTGTCTAAAGCCAAAATGTCTAAAGTCTACCCAATACACCCATAAGGGGTGTATTGAAGGGAATCATTACAAACTTCTTTTTAGATCACAAATACTTACATTTAAATGTTTGCTATAAAAAAAATTTCAATAACTCTGGCAGAGTTCATAACTAGGACCTGAATGATTTACTTGGAATTAAAAATTTTACATTAAAGAACCAAAAAATCAGAATTTTTTGGTTCTTTAATGGTCGACAAAAAATTGCGGACCTTGTTTCTTTGTTTTATAGTCGCACCATTGTATCAAATTATTTTTGCCAATCTTTAAATTAAAAATTTAAAGTAAGATTTAAAAATAAAAAGTAAATAAATTAATATACACCATAGAAATAACATAAATAAATTAGTATATTTCATGGAAATTAGCAAAGGCCATAGAGGTAATACTATAATTAAGGTAATTGAAAAAAAAAATGTTGATACACTCAGTGACATAATTTTTATATAAATAATTTTTTTTATTTGAGTTTAAATTTTAAAAAAAAACATTTAAAATTGGATATGTTAAAGTCTGTGAGTAAGAATGCTGTTTTAACTCATTTTTAAACTGCTCTATACTAATTTTATGTGTATTTACAATCTTGGGAAACATTTTCCACAATTAACGTCCGCGATAAAGAACTGAATATGAAGTCAGTTTTGAATTAGCAAAGTTGTTATTTGAAAATTTTATTAGATATTTATGAACTATTTTTTCAAAATAGGATTGAAATATTTTAGGAGATAATCCTATATTTGTTTTATACATGAGCATTAAAACTTGGTGTAAGTTAATTTTATATATATTTAATGCTCCAAGTATATACAGAAGAGGCTCACAAGGTACAGTTCTATCAGCTCCAAAAATTATTCTGCATGCATGTTTTAATATATCGGTGTGATTCGTGCAATTTTTAGTTTCAAATGGTGTTGAATTCATAGAAATTTTTAATGCCAAATTTGGACCAGAATGAGTAAAGAAGCTGTTTAGTTTTTCAGCAATAATTGGTTTATCATAAATTTCGTTTTTATCAATTTTTTTTTTTTTTTTTGGTAGGACGTTTCTAGGATAATTATTTTTTCTGATTATTTCTTTAATTACATTCCATGTTTTTTTAGTGTTTCTGGTGGTTTTACTTAATAGTTTTGCATAATAAAACTTTTTTGAGTTCCTTTTTATTTTTTCAAATATATTTTTATAATTTTTATGTCATTTCGTTTTTATAAGGTTTTTTTTTCAAATACTTATCATATAACTTTTGTTTTCTTTTTGAAGATTTGAATAACCTGTTAGACATCCATGGAGTTAAAACAGCTTTGGTTTTTACAATAATTTTTTATTTAGGAAATGATTGATTATATTGCTTGCAGAATTGATTTAAAAATAGATCATATGCGTTGTTAACATCATGTGACTGCAATACCAGATCTCAATCAGCATTCTCTTAAAAGATTTTGAAATTGTTTTACAGAGTTTTCATTGATCTGTTGCCTAAATATAATGGATTGAGAAGGAATACTATTAAATAATATATTGTTAGTAACTAGGAATGTTAGGAAATGATCCGATAAGTCAGTTTTGATTATGTCTATGTAAAGACCGTTATTATGATGATTAATTATTGTATTATTAAGAAGTGTAGAAGAGTTGTTAATCATTGGCTTGTTTATTGTCGGAATTAAATTTTTTTGAAGAAGAGTGTTTATAAAATTATAGGCATGACGGGTTTTATTTATATTTGTTAAAAATGGTTTAAGATAAGTTTTAAATTTTTTTAAGCTAGTTGATGGAGGTCTATATGTGGCATTTATAATTACTTTTTTTGTGGTTTTATTTATTAATTCAATGCATAATGTCTCATAATCTATTTCATTTACACAGAGATCATTATGTAAACTATAAATAATTGAGTTGTGGATAAAAATACTTATGCCCCCACCAATACAAAAATAATGTGGTTGGTGAACTGATTTGTAATTAATTAGTTCAAATTGTGCATTTGTTTCACTACACTTACACAAAGTTTCTGTAAGACAAATAATTTTAAAATTGTGTTTATATTCATCAAACAAAAACTTAAGATTTTCAAAATTTTTTATTTAAACTTCAAATATAAATGTTTAAAATTGAAAAACTATTATTATTTTTTTGAAGATATTGAAAAGATTCAGTAGCTGTATAGTATTGGTTTTCAAATATTTTATGATTAAATTTATTAGAGTCATCAACCTCACTGAGTATGACATTTTCATCTGAAAATTTAATTATTAAGTTTTCCTCCAATTATAAAGTAAAGCATATATAAATAAATGCAAAATAGTTAATAAAGTAATCAGCAATAGTTAAAAGAAAACTAATAAACCCTAACCCTTACTATTTTGACACGGATTTGGGATTTCATATATTCAAAAAAATACTCTTGAATCAAAAGCAGCAATGATATAAATAAATCAACTATATTATTCTCAATAATAATTAATTAATATACACTGATTATTTTATAATAGTGAAATATATAATTTCTAATATAAGTTTGTTGTTATAAAACCATGTATTGATTTTATATTTACCTTCAATGTTACAGACGGTATTTTATTTTATTTTTGGCTTCGCCCAATCAATGTATACTGTGCAGAAGTGGAGTAGCAAAAAAAAGAATATAAGAAAAGGACCCCACGCATTCCTGGAACACATTTTTATCTCAGTGGAGGAAGGGGAAGGATGATTGGGAAATATTTTGACAAATTCCCAATTTTGTTAAAACGCTGTATCAAATTTATTCCTGGCTAACACCCTGAAATGTCACCTTTTCCTTACAACCCTCATAATTTACCTTCATTCCTTAATTAAGTCTGGTCACTGATTCTAATTTGTGTTCAGTTTCTTTTTTTTTTCTTTAGGTAGTTCTAACCATGCAATGATCTCTTTAAATCTTTCATACTTCCTTTTCAGACTCATTCTATCATCGCACTACTTACTACCACCCTAAAGCTGAAAGGGATTCTTTTTGTGATTTTTTTTGTGACTTGGGCTTATGCTTTTCCCTCTCAGCTGAAAAATCCACTTCCTGCATAACTTCCTTGATCCAGAGAGGAATGAAAGCTTTTATTCTTCTTCATCAGTACCTCATTCTACCCCATGGTTTTCACTTTCTCCTGTACAGCTGCTCTATCTAATTGTAATCATTTTTTTAATCTTTTTTAAAAGAACAACTCTCCTGAGAACAAACTGATATTTATTATTGCAAAAAGTCTATTTAAAAAGGTGCTCTCAGACTCTAAGCTCTGTTATTCTCAGTTCACTAAATTAGGCTCTAGAGACTTTTGGAAAATTTTAAACAGCTTGGTTAACGGAGGTCTATTATTCCATTTCTCATTTGAGGAACTGATCTTATTACCTCTCCCAAGGATAAGGCAGAACTGTTTGCAAATAACTTATCTTCTAGTTTGATTCTCGAATCTTAAATTTAACAGGCTAACCCATTGTTTGGCATTCAAATTACTCAGCTTCAGTTGCTAAAGTTGCATCTCAATTAAACTCTTCTATGGCTTGGAGTCTAGACAACATTCCTGTCATCTCCAGAACTCGAGATAATTGCTACTTTGAGCAGAACGCTGCTCAAAGGAACTATCATTAACAAAATAAAGGTGTTCAATGCTGTTGAAAAGGGTCTAGAATAGACTCCTTTTTATATATATTTTTATATATTTTTATTTATATAAGCCCCTTAGTTTTTCCTTTTGTTTATATTAAGCTGTGAGAACATGGTTGAATTATGTTCTAAGGCCAATAATATATTTAATCAAGATCAAGGATGCAGTTTTATATTAATATTGAATTAATTATTGATTAAAGTGAAATCCAATATTCCTAATTTGATTCGCAAGGTATTGAACAGGTTTTCAAAAATTAAAAGTGCCACAATTATCAACTTTTCTTTAAAATGACACTGTGTTTAAATTAGGGGCAAAGATTTTTAAAAGGATTTAGTGTACACAATCATATTGGGTTTTCTCTATTTGTAACATCCGCGCTTCATTAATTTGAAAGATTAAGATCTAAATTTCATTATAATATTAAAAGATCTAAATTTCATTAAAACATTTTTTCTATCCTAAACTAAATTTTGGTCACTTTTAGATGAAAATCTGTAAAATACTTTGCTACAGAAAATCTTATCTTGGATTACTTAAACTGTTGAATTATATGCCAAGTTTTAAAATAAAATAAAACAAACATGGACTGGACAAATATAAACTAAAACTTTTATAAAAGTTCTAATAACTTTTTTTTAAATTAGAAGTTAACTTAATTGCATTATTTGCCTTATGGTTTGGGCAGAAGAGCAACTTTAAAAAAATTTATTTAAACAATTATATCCACCTTAACTGCAATATTTTTCCCATTGGTCTGCACAGAAGAGCATTGTAGAAAAAACTTATTTTAATGGTTCTATTTCACAGTAGTGTGCAACTTAATGATTGTGTAGTTAGTGGTTTGATAATAAATATTAATGAAAGTTTTATAAATTACTCTTGATATGATATTTCATTACATTGGTTGTAACAGTTAAATCTGCTAATAAGGAACATAATTCATCATAAGTTAGATTTTAACTTATGATCATTATAAAAGTTAAATTAAAATAAGAAATACTTTAGTTAATTATTTTTAATATTGTTCTTTAAATCTTGGTTTTTTTTTAAAGCTCTTTTTTCTGCATTATTTTTATAAAATAAAACTGCATAGAGTTTTAAACCGTTAAATATACTTCTGTATAACTACAAGTCAATAAATAATATTTTACTTACATTTTTATAAAACTAATTAATAATATTTTACTTACATTTTTATAAAACTAATAAATAATATTTTACTTACATTTTTATAAAACTAATAAATAATATTTTACTTACATTTTTATAAAACTAATAAATAATATTTTACTTTGATATAGAATTAAAAAGCAAGAACTATATGCTAAACAGAAAGTCGTAAGAGTTGAAGGTAATTATGTTTATTTATTTTATTTGTTTAAAATTTTTAAATTTTATAAGGATTTTAACAATGTCTGAGATAAATTACAATAACAATAACACTATTAAAAGTAATTCTAAAAGGTATCGAGGGAAATTCTAATAATTTATTAGCAAAATAACCTGATAAACAGGTCAAAAAACCTTGAATGTTTGCAGGTTGGCTCTATGTATAATAGATCATTATGCTTTCCTGAATTATATTGATAACTGTGCATATAATTTACTATTTAGATAAATTAACTGTATATAATTGAATGTTGTTTTTACTTTGTTATTACTGCAAGTTATTCGCTATAGTTTTGTAAATCTGTAAAATAGGCTTAAGCTCTATTAGTTTCCAATCTTTTTCTGAACTGATTCATGTTCTTAAACTCATCTGCTTCCTCAAAAAAGCAATATTATTATTTTAAAAAAATCAAGCCAAAGTTGTAACAAAGGATAATTTAAATGTTGAAGTGTTAATTAAATTGTGTAGAAAAACAGTACTAACATTTTATAAAATATATGCTAAAGTTAAGGAAGGATTAAACAACTGTGAATTATCTAAAATAAGAAAAAAGAAATTAAAAAAAAAAACGTTTTAATCATGTAGAGATGTTAAATAATGGATAACTGGCAGCAAACAGCAAAATAATTTGAAATGGTAAAAAAAAGTCAACCGAAAAAAGCTGCATTTCAAATAAAACTTCTTCATTTCTGTTCTCTATGCAGATACAAGTTATGTTGTATTGTAAATAAACAGAAAAGTTCAGAGTTTTTTAAACTTATCAAAACAAATTATCAATTGAGATATTACCAAAAAATGCTATGAAAGTTGTTCTGCCATTATACTTCTAGTTGAGAGCTTAACTCATGAATCTGCATATTTTTTTTGTAATAATTTTGTTTGAATAATAAGTGTGCTTAGTGTGGAGTTTCTTAAAAGAGTTTTAATTTATACAGTCCAATTAAATGTTTCCTGTTTAAAACATTCTTGCGGATGTAACTACATCCAAAAAAAATTTGGATGTAGATACATCCGCAAAATCTACAGATGTAGTTGCACAGATGTTATTATACATCAATAAAATTTGGGATGTTATTGCACGGATGTTATTATACATCAATGACATTTGGGATGTTGTTGCACGGATGTTATTATACATCGATGAAATTTCAGTTGTTGTTTCACGGATGTTATTATACATGGCAAAAACGGATGTTATTGCCATGACTCTTTCATTTCTATCAATCTGTAGCTTTCCATTAATAGTTAAATTATATTATCAATTGCTTTTTTTTTTTTTGAAGGAGGAGGATGGGGGGCGCATGTTAAGTACATTTTAGAGTTTTTTAAAAATATTAATTATTTTAACCAGATGTAGTTACGCGTCTGATTTTTTTCGGATGTAATTACATCCGCCAAAAAAAAATTATTATAATGCATTATTTTAAGCATAATAAAATTTTTTATGTTTTTTTCATTATTTGATAGACTGCCTGCCCAAACCTAACCCTCAGTTGATGTAGCAGCACTTCGTTGCGAGTCAGGCTATTTGTCAGTTGATGTAGCAGCACTCTGTTGCAAGTCAGACTATTTGTCAGTCGATGTAGCAGCACTTATATAATATAATAATTATATATGTAACTTATAAATGTAACTACATCCGTAATTTTTTTTTTAATAATGCATTATTTTAACCAGATGTAGTTACACATCTGATTTTTTTCGGATGTAACTACATCCGAAAATTTATTTTATTTAATAATGCATTATTTTAGGCGGATGTAGTTACACATTGAGAAAAACTCTTGGATGTAGTTACATCTTTCTAAAGATGTTATTAGATAATATTTCAATAAAATTTCAGATGTTGTTGCACAGATGTTAATTCAGTAAAGAAAAAAAGCAGGTGGTCTTACACAAAAATGTGCAATTGTTATTTCACTACTCCACGGATGTTGTTGGACAGATGTAATAATCTTTTCCCGAAATGAAATAATGGTACATCTCCTTATAAGTAAAAGATAACTAGTTCTCTTAGCTTCTTGTAGTTCCTATGTTAAATATATCTATGGTCAATGCCCTCTTGAGGAACTTCAGGGCCTCCCTTTTAATAATGTTTTAAAACAACCCAACCTGTTACCCACTCTAATGAAACCTGATGTGCATTGCCTTATCCACCTCGTTCTGAGTGACCATCCTTTGTATAATCTTAAATTATCTTTGTATAATCTTACATATAATCTTACGTATAATCTTACAGCACAGTGCTTTTTTGTGCTATTTTATTTTCTCATCAGTAAGATCCTTCACAAAATGAGAAATGTTTACCTCCAACATGTGTTGTCTGCATATAAATCAGAACAGAGAAGGTTGTGAAGATGGTAAAAACTCCTAAAAAGAACTTCAGTGTTGGAGTATTTAAAGCAGTTATGTCACAGCATATAGCAAAGATCTGATCAACAAGGTTGTAATACTCTGATATATTTAAGATCACATCTACCTGGTCAACTCTTTTGGAGCGTTCAGCTTAGATTACTTTAAGATTGATGTCATTGTGTTGTCAATATCATTGAATGATGTGTTGAATCTTGTTCTTCACATCCATTAAAAGAAAAGAAACACATGCTTCACTCTTGCAGACTTAGTAGCTTTAAACCGTTAAAAATTACTTAGTTATTTTAAGTCAGGCATGTTTATGAGCAGAATACTAAAAAAATTTTCGGTGTTTATTTGATGCATGAAAACCATTTAATTAAGTTATTGTTTTACAAAACAAAAATATTTATATAAGTGTAGATGATTTTTTTCTTGAACACAAGGCGAGAATTTTTGTAAGCTTAGGTAAAATAACTTCTTAAAATATTTTAAATAAGCGTACCCAAGCCTGTTAAAAAAACTCAATCATTTAAAATAAAAATATGTACTATTAATAATATTCACCTCACTATTCATTAATAAATGTTTAAAAAAAAAAAAAAAAAAAAATTAGAAAAATGTCTGAAGAAATTAAATAACATTGACAAATCAATATTAATTTTCAAAAGATTTAATTTTTTTAAACTTTACAGAAATCACTTATTAACAACTGTTTTTTTTTTTTTTGGTTTAGTAGACTTAAGAAAATGGCAAAAACTTGACAAATGTCCTCAAAAAGAAAAAAAAAAACATGTTTCTGGAACATCCATTTGCTTGACATTCATATCACTCCAGCTTCTGTATCTAAAGTGATTTCCTGCTTAGACTCTTCTACAGCTTCTGGCCCGGACAAAATACTTGTTATAGTCTTGCAGAAGTATTCTCCGGAGCTGTCATCTATCCTTTCAAAACTATTCAACAATCGCTTATCAGAGTCTTGTTTTCCAGCCTGCTGGAAACCAGCATCTGTTATCCCTGTTCCTGGAAACCAGCATCTGTTATATTTTTAAAAATTCTGGATAGCAATTTGATTCAACTAACTACTGTCCCATTGGTCTTCTTCCTATCATAAGCAAGGTTTTTGAATCTTTAATTAAACACTTAAGCTATTATCTTGAATCTAATAACTTACTTTCCGAGTATCAATATGGATTTCAATTTTCTTGTTCTACGGCTGATTTGCTAACAGTAATAACCCATAGATTTTATCGTGCATTAGATAAAGGTGGAGAGGTTAAGGCCATTGTTCTTGACATTTCTAAAGCATTTGATAAAGTTTGATTTGCTGGTCTTCTCCATAAATTTTCTTCTTACAGTGTATCTGGAAACATCTTTAAGATTATTGAATTCTTTCTTTCCAATCTTAGTATAAAAGTTGTCCTTGATGAACAATACTCTTCTTCTTGTTCTGTAACCTCAGGGGTTTCTCAAGGTTTAATCCTTAGCCCTATAATATTTTAAATTTACATTAACAATCTTCCAGATATTCTCACATCTAAGGTGGCATTGTTTGCTGATGATGCTACCAAAAGCAATGTTTTTGTGCAACAACAGTTTAATATAAATTCCTTTTGATATTTGTTCTGAAGTAATAAAACTAATAATGTTAAAGCAATTTTGAAATATGGAGCTGGTCTGACTACACAGTGTGTAATTTACTTAAATGTTTTAAAATAGTTTACTTAAATGTTTTAAAACTGCAAAGCACATTTCTTTAACTTAAATCACTAAACACATTCTAAATCAATTTGCTTAGATGTTTCATAATTTGAGTTTAACATTTTTTAAGTTAGCAACAAGTTTTACCTGAAAACAATATTTAAGATTTATATTTTAGTATGTTTAAAATGTTTAAGTTTTAGCATGCTATGAATTTTTTTCTAATGTTGTAGTTTGTAATTTTTAATATTAAAAGTTATAAATACTAGATGATACCAATATTAAAAGATTAGTAAGTGTGCAGGGTCCCAGACTCTGCTTTTTACAAACTGGCCGAAACACCAGCAAAATTATAAATTTAAACAGGAGTTGATAGCTAGTAAATAATTTATAATAGTTTATATATTTTAAATTAATGCAAGTATATACAATTTATTAAATAAATAAATATATATATATATATATATATATATATATATATATATATATATATATATATATATATATATATATATATATATACATACATATATATATTTATATATTCATATATATATGTAAATATATATATATATATATATATATATATACATATATATATATATATATATATATATATATATATATATATATATATATATATATAACATAAATACATATATATACATATATATATATATATACATATATATATACATATACACACACATATATAATATATATATACATATACATACATATATATAAGTATATATATATATGCAAGTATATGTGTATATATATATATATATACATATATATATATATATATATATATATATATATATATATATATATATATATATATATATATATATATATATATATATATATATATATATATATATATATATATATATATATATATATATATATTAGTAGGAAAAACATAAAGATTGGCAAGAGTTTTGAGGTTTTGTTGATGTGCAAGGAAAAAAACTAGGTCAATAAAATTTTTATAGCATATTGGGACAATTATAGTAAAAAGGTAGGACTTTGCTAAATGACAAGCCAAGTGAGAATGAGTTTTTGTGAATCCAAATAGAGATATTAGCTTGAAGAAAAAATGATAAAAAGCAGCTTTATGACCATGGGAGTCTTAAGCTTGGAAAGTAAAGTAAGCCTAACTACATTTATAGTGTGCTTTTGGACCTTGTCTAAAGGTTACTTTTCCTCAATATAAGAGTTTCAATAAAATTATTACAGTTGTTAGCAGTAAACTAGTGAGTTTTTTTAAAGACAAAAACCACAAGCTTTTGAAGCCTCAAAACTGCTACAGAAGAGAGATCAGATTAAAGATCAGCGGTTTTGTCTAAGCAATCAAAATTAATGACTTTTTGTCAAGTACAAAGTCAAGTTGTTAGCAAATAGAGCCACTTTAGATGTAAGACTGTAAGAGAGATTTTTATTTTAGATAAAAAACAATGTAGGAGCAAAGAATTAAGTTACAAGAAATGACCAAGTAGAGGCCTTTGAGAATGATTTAAATCCTGCGGTTAGAAAGATATATATATATATATATATATATATATATATATATATATATATATATATATATATATATATATATACATATATATATATATATATATATATATATATATATATATATATATATATATATATATATATATATATATATATATATATATATATATATATATATATATATATATATATATATATATATACATATATATATATATAATATATATAAAATCTGTCCCTCTAAGTGATAGTATAGGTGCATATATATATATATATATATATATATATATATATATATATATATATATATATATATATATATATATATATATATATATATATATATGTATATATATATATATATATATATATATATATATATATATATATATATATATATATATATATATATATATATATATATATATATATATGCACCTATACTATCACTTACGGCAACAGATTTACAAAAAAAATGAACAATTATGAAGACATTAGCAATATCGGGGACATTTTAGTATCAAGGTCAGGCTTAGGGTTAGAGTTATGCCATGGTTTAAGTATGGTTATATTACTGTAGTTAATTATTTTTGTAAATCAATGAAAATAAAAATGAAATATAATATGCAATTAATAAATAAAAATAACAAAAATCAATAGGAAAAAAAAAATATATATATATATATATATATATATATATATATATATATATATATATATATATATATATATATATATATATAGAGAGAGAGAGAGAGAGAGAGAGAGAGAGTGAGAGAGAGAGAGAGAGAGTTATTTATATCAGTAATCAATAAAATGTAATTTCTATTAATTTGACTAATTTTAGAAAAAGAAATTGAGATGGTAAATGAGATTGATCAGTTAATTGCAAAAGCTGAAAAGTTGTTTCAGCCAGAATGTCAAAAGTCTTTATGTAAGCTTTTCCACTTTTTCTTTATTGATTTTATATTTTTATAGGAAATGTTTCAAAATTAATATATTCTTTTTATAAATGAATAGGTAATAAATGAAGTAATAATTTAAAACCTTTATTTGCAATATAGTTAACAATTGCATTAGTTATACTTTAACCAACTATAGTTTGTTGATAATGCCTTAATAACACAAAAGTTTTTTTTATATTTTTGATTTATCAAATTTGAGCACCTTTAGTTTTGATAACAGCTATGCAACATTTAAATATTTTAATAATAAATATTGCAAAATATTGTTATCTAAAGAGTACCATTCAGTTTGCAGATTTTTTGCATTTGTGTAGCACTATTTTCAGATTTACTTTTAACTCTTCTATCCAATTTATCCTAGTTAAATTGGTGACATATCAGGTGATTGAAATGGACATATAAGTTCTATATATTTTTTTTTTATCATTCATATTAGACACATTTTAGATGCCTGTTTTAGATCATTATACTGTTGAAATTTTTAATTTAGTCCAATAATTTCATTTCCAGATAGTTAAGCATGGTCCTGCAAAATTTATAAATAACCTACTTTTTTATGTTTGCAATCTATTTTAACTTATAAAGAATCTCCTAACATCTCCATTAATCTCCATCTATCATAATTAATCTCCAATAATCTCCATCATATTTACTTTTTGGCTTCACTTAGGCTGAGCTCTTTTATTTTTAGATTGTTGGACAAACATTCTACAACTGAAAATTTGAAATTAAGATTAGTTCATCCAGGGACATTTTTCCATTCTTCAAGTGTATAATCTCTATGAGATTTAGCCTCAACCAACCTGTTTTTCTTATGTTGTTTTGTTAATTTCAGTTTTTTACGTGAGTAATAGTTACTATTCATGCAGATTGTTGTTTTTAATTTTATTGCATTAAAACTATGGTTTTTAACATAAATTTAAATAATTTTTATGTTTTTTTTTTTATATTTATTTTTTTGAATCTTTTAATAAAATATGATTATTGCTTTTAAAATTCTACTTCTTTTGAGATCCAACATGAAATTTGAGGAAATATTTTTCATATATTATCAATAGCCTATTTGATGTTTAAGAATCTTGGAGCACCCCTAAATATATTTTATTAGAGGTTCTCTATTTAAGTCTATTTATGTGCACTACTCACATGTTTTACCTATTTTAGTCAGTTGATGTATTCACACTCTGCACCAATCCCTAAATGAATCAGTCTATAAATTAAAAATAAATAAAAAAACAATTAAAATTGAGTATAAAAACAATATAAATCATTAAAAAAATAAAAACAAACACATTCTGGATTTAAAAAATAAAGTTTTATAATTTCAGCAACAAAATATGATAAGACAAAGCTAAAAAAAAAAAAGGTTTAAAGTCTACAATAAAAATAATGATTTTCCTTAAACTTTTTTTTTTAAAGAGGAAAGCAAAAATATAAATTTCAATGTGTTTGTAGATATATTTGTATAATTTTAATGTAACAACAAGGGTTGAATTAAGCAATTGCAAAATGCAAAGTCTGGAAAATATCTGGTATTCAAAAATTTAGTTTATGCAAAACTGTGTTTGTTGTTTTCAAGGGGCGAATCAACTTATATTTGTTAGCGAAAAAGTTGTAAAAAGTAAAACAATAAACTTATGACTACAAAAGTATAAACACTCTAGTCACTAGCTGCATCATAAAAGCAATAAAGCTATAATAGTGTTATTACTTTTATAACGCACTTGTTACTTTTATAATTCATTCTTTTTTCAAACAACATAAGCAATTACAAATTTTAATCAATGTAGAAAAGCATCTAGAAAAATAGAGTGGATATTCAAATAGTATTTAAAACTTAAGTAACTTATAAAAACGTAACAAACAACTTTATAAAAACATAATGTATAAAAAGTTTAGCGATATAAGAAACATTACTAATGATCTGTAAAAACACGCGTTTTTAAAATCCACCAATAAGAACTTTTTACTGGTTGTTTTTTTAAATTAATGCGTATTTTTTCAGACTATTAGTAACATTTTTCTTAATGCTAAACTTTTTATAAAGTATGTTTTTATTAAGTTGTTTAAGTGATTTGTAAAAGTTTCTAAAATTTTTAATAAGGTTTAAATATCCGCTTTAATTTTTCTAAATGCTTTTCTACTTTAATTAATGTTTGGAATAAATAATGTTGTTTGAACAAAGAATGAACTTTAAAAGTAATGAGTGCTTTATAAAAGTAATAACACTATTATAGTTTTAATACTTTTATAATGGAGTTAGTGACTAGAGTGTTATTGTTTTGTAGTTGTAAGTTTATTGTTTTGTCTTTTTATAACTTTCTCACTAACAAACTTATAATGATTTGCTCATTGAAAACAAAGTACGCAGCTATGCATTAACTAAAACTTTGAAGACTTTTTCCAGAGTTTGAAAATCGTGATTGCTTAATTCAACCCTTGATATACTTGTTATATTAAAATTATACAAATATATTTCACAAATAGATGACAATATATATTTTTGCTTTCCTCTTTGAAAAAGAAAAAAAACAAATAAAATATATGAAAGTTTGTTTTATTGGCTTAAAATATTATTCTAAAATAAGTTTATCAATCAGTTGTGTTTACCGAAGGTGTTTTTGGTAAAAAAAGTAGTTTTTGCCTACAAACTATTGGTTGATAATATTATAAATTTTCTACCCTAAATGCATCCAAAAAAAAATTTGAATTTAAAAATCGATGAAACTAGGCTTATGGTAGATGAAAAGTTATTTTTATAAAAGGTATTTTAAGTCACCTGATCAATTTTTTACATTTTTTTTTTTATATAAAGACCAAGTAACAAACTTATAATAAACCTGTAAAGTTTCCGAAATACTATTATTTTTACCAACTTTAATGTATAATATTACAATGTAGGAAATCATCTCAAAGCACCTTCAGTTAACTGTATTTCAAGAAAAACTTTTACAACTTGACATATTCTTTCAATTTTACAATGCATTCTTTCTGGCATTATTGCATAATTAATTATTTCAAATTAATTCATTTATTATTGCAATAAATAATTTATTAATTAATTTAAACTATCTTATTATTTCCTTGTACTTTAGATAAGTTTTCTTGTGTTGGTTTATAAGATCATGTTGATTAAGCTAATGAATCATTATATTTAGCACATTGCTTTTCCTCCCCAATGCACACCTTTTCTTCTTTTTCAGTAAGTTTTTTGTTTACTCCAGCTAAGTGACCAGACCGAAGTTGTTTTTTTGACGCTCCATAAAGATTCTAGCTTCGTTTATTTTAATCACCTAAAGCACAATGGCATGAGCAATGTCAAACAAATTGTCTAAGTTGGAAAGAAACTCTTGTCGACATTGTTCAAATGCATATTTTTTTCCTTCAGCATTTTTTTGCAAATCTCTACAAACTTGGTATAATGATGTTTTTTAACCCAGTTAGATAATGATTTATTCGGTATATATGTCTTTTCTTGCATAATCTTACTATCAGTGAGTGTATAAATAATACACTCACTAATAGTAAGATTTGCACTTTCATTGACGCTTAAATTCATTTAACGTATATAATAGAATAAAACTTCCAGTACTTTTAAATAAGTACTTTTAAGTTTTAAATCCGTAATTTGATGCTATATTTTTCCTATGGAAAATATCTCCTTTTTAGAACTTCTTAACTTCACTGACATGTTGATTACTAAATAAAAATGTCTTTACTAATAAAATAAACAAGTAATAACAAGCAAGCGATGCAAGATTTCTATTGCACTGTACCATGAAAGCACAGTCAAGTTGGCATTGTTGGTCATAATACTAAGTACACAAAACTTTTTTTTTTAAATGTTTTGAGACCATTCAAACAAAAAAAAAGGGTATGCATTAAATAAATAATGCTTTAATTTTTTTGGACGCTATAAAATGTATATTAATTATATTTTGTTATTGTTACTATTATTGTTGTTATGTATTATATGGTGTTGATATTTTTTGTTAATTTAATTAAAAAATTTTTTTAGGTAGTCGATCACAAAATTTTGAAAGTATTTTATCTAAGAAGTTATCAAGAAACCAAAGTGTGGAACCATCAAGAAATCAAAGTTCCATAAAATTGAAAACAACACTTAAAAAAAATCATGTGACAATAGCGAAACCAAAAGTTTTAAATAAGGCAAACAGTAGTGTACCTTCAGCTACTGCAAAATGTGTAATAAATAGTTATGGACAAAAATATATTAGGCATTCGAACCCACTCAAGGCTGCAAAATATAAGAAGGAAGTAGATAATAGTTGTCAGTCTTTACCTCAAGAACATACGAAACCAAAAATGGAATTCTTACAAGACAGTACAAAAGACTTATCAAAAACAAATGAAAGTCTGGAAGATAATTTATTTATAAGCGATTGCAATTCAGAAATTTCATTAAATAAAATTTGTAATGATGAAGTAATATCAGATAAGATGTTTGATGATGAATTTCTGAGTTTCTACAAAAAGTATTTGTCATTAGAAAGATACATAGAGAAACTGAAATGTTCACAAGGTCTTTTGTGTGAAAGAAAAAATGCTTTTGATGAATTTATGTCAAGTTTAGAAAATAGTTGCACAAAAGAAAGTTTTTTTACTTGCGCCTCTCAAAATGTGGAATATGATCTGACTTTTGGTCAACAAGTAATAGATGAAATAAATAACGGTATTTAGATTTTGTTGTTGTTAACTTTTAAAAAATTGATAAATATTTTTTACAATGTACACTGAATTACCTACAAAAAGCCATGTGGGCAAAAACATTTTGTTTTACAATTTATTGTTATAAGTGTGATAATTACTATTTTGTAATTAAAGATGGATGATATTTTTTATTTATTTTTTTAATTGTTGAGAAATTTCTTTTTGGGGTGTTCTTTTAGAAAGTTTTTTAGACTGACTCTTTTGATATCATAAAATGTAGTTGATCTATTTATAATTCTATATCTACATCCATTGATATTTTTATTTTAAATTCTATATCTACATCCATTTCCACAAACATACAAGCTTGTAATCTATGTTTAAAAATGGTTCAAAACGGCATTTTGTGTAAATGGCAGTTGATTTTTGATCAAAAACATTTTTAAGTACAAATGTTTATCTCTACTCACCTCAATTATAAACTTTTTTGCATAACAAAATCCTATTAAACAAGTTTTATATGTGTTTAAAAAAATTATCATAATTAATTCTTCAAGATTTTACCTATGAGGGTTTGTTATTGTGAAATACTATCAATTGATTTTTTCTTTAAAGTGACTTTTTTCCACTTAGTTTGTTTAAAACAGTTCTCTGTGTAATTTTTTTTTAAATATTATTAAATATTTATATATCAATTATATAACGTATAGTAAAACTTTTCTTCAGGAAATCTATATTTTTTTATTTTTTTCTCTCAGCAGCAGATGAGAATGGAAGTCTGGATCAAGTTAGTTTATTTTGTTATTTATTACTTTTTTAAAAACAATATTTTTTTATTGTTCAAACAGTTGAATAGCGACCTTTCAACTTTATCAATACTAATAAAATAATTTTGACATTTTAAAAAATTAATTTCTGACATGTTTTAAATGTTTCATAAATATTTTTGAAAGTAATTATTATTAGAATTATATATTACCATTTTTACAGTATTTACTCTAAAACTAACTGGTTTGAGTTTTGAGTGAACACAGGTATTATTTTGTATGAGGCTGTATGTTATATCTTAAGCATACCTAAGCGTAAACCAAACGTACACCATGTATGTAACCCATTATGTAACCCATATGTATACCATAATGTAACCTATATGCAGACTCTCATAAAACATTGTGAATTTAAAATAATATTTGCTTTCACAGTTAGTGGCAGCTTCCGCTTTAACTAAATTTATATTTTGAACCAGAAAACCAGAATCTAATGAGGAATGAGATGCTGACATATACAATAAACTATCAAGACTTATAAAGTGAGATTTATTTTCACAAAATATTTTTGAAAATAAAGGATGCTTAGAGTAAAAATATGCATTTATGTACATTTCAAGTGATGTCAAAATTCTTAATATATCCATCTGTGAGTTGTCAGCAACAAAAAATAATGCTGAACTGTGAAAACAACTCCCAAATACTTTTAGGCTTAAAAAAAATATTATTTTATTAGTAAACAAGTGTACGAGTATAAATTTAAAACTGTTTCAATTTTAAATGCATATTAATATACAGAATAAAAATCAAGTTCTTTTAAAATTTTGTTTTATTTTAACATTTGTGATATGAAAATTGAAAGCAAGATTTTTTTATTGATTTCGAAAAACATTATTATCCTAATGTTTTGACATGTTTTATAGTTCAACTATTAGTTAGTTGAAAAATAGTTAGCTTAAGTAAGTAAACATTGTAAATTGCTATGTCAAAACATCAGTATGATAATATTTTTTGATATATAGATATTTTGATATATACACATTGTATGTTGACAGATTTTGTCATAAAAACTGTATTATAGAAATTTACTAAGTTTATCAGGTTTTAAAGATAGTGTCACGTTTCTGTAAACATTTAAAAACTATTGCATAAATATAATCTGATAATCACTTTTAAAAAAGATTATGAAGTGCCTTACCTCAGGGCAACGCAATATTTTTTTTGTCTTTTATGTGAGAAGGAATAAAAATTTCTGCACAGAAATTTCTCCTTAGTGTATCATCATTAAAACGACTTTCAAGATCTTCATTTTTAACAAATTTATCATTTTTAGAAATGAGTTTTTCCAGCAAGCCATCGTATAGTATCTCTATATTGTTAAGATCATTGGATTTAAACTCTTGTAAAACATTTTCCCTCAAATTATAAGCTATGCTTAAAATAAAATTGAGAATTGCGAAATGAATTTTAATAATTATTAAAAATTCTGATCCTGCAGAGAATAATTTTAACGAATCGAAATCGCAAAATTTACAGCCCCACAATACGTTACTTTGAACAGTTTTTTTTTTTTTTTTGAATCACATTACTTTTAATGAAAATGGACCAATTGATTTATTAGATTTTTCTGCAAACCCTGCAAACGAATCAGATTGCATTTTTTCTTAAAAATTTGCAGCATGTCATGCAGTTTTCACCGTTTTCTTAGGAGCTTAAAAGCTCTTAGGTCAGAACAGCTTTTGCAAAATGCTGACGAGCAGACAGTAGTTGATTAAAAATTTTGAAAATAATTTTTTACCCTGTCACTTGCAGGACTTGACGGAGTTTAAATCTGCAACTGGTATCTATAATTAAATATACTACTTAAATAACCTCTTATTCCATACCGTAGGGTGTCTGCCAGATCAGGGAAAGGTCAGGGAATTCATATATCTGAAAAATTTACTATTTATGTAAGGTAAAGTGCTAAAACAACATACTAATTGCAAGTGATGACTTCAATGAATATTAGGGCCTAAAGTTGAGTCTAAAATCACAAATTTTTGGTTTTTTAAACGACAAATAATTTGTGATTTCAAACCATGGTTTTCAGACAAACATTTTTCACTAACCAATCTGTAGAAATCCACTTGTAGTTGCAGAAAACTTTCAAAGAATTGCTTTTAACATATTCAGCTAAATCAAAATACATATTTTATGTTGTCACAAATTTTGTCTAATTTCTTCCGAATGTGTTCCGAGTTCTACATGCCCTAACTTTCATTGATTGACAGAATATTTTCTTGAAAAAATAATATTTAAGCCCGCTTTGTTATATTGTTATTATTATTATTATTATTATTTGATTTTTTCATCAGCTTATATGAAAGTATGCACTCCTAAATCAAAGCATACATATTATTCATGTTTAATAGACTTAACAATTATACGTTGGAACGCATAATTAGTAAAGTGTTTTTGTTCAAATAGCGTTCCCTGTTTTACAATTTGGCTTAATCAAAACTAATAAATTGTTTTTTGCAATCATATTGTGATAATTTCTAATATTATTTCTAATGATATTCTAATGATGCCCTTTCTCTTTTAGACAAGGTGCAAAAACGCATTGTAAACATAGTTGGACCTGCTCTTGCAGCCAACCTTCAACCTCTGTCACATCGTCGTAATGTTGCTTCTCTTTCTCTTTTCTACAAATACTATAATGGGCACTGCTCTAAAGAGCAAGCTACTCTTGTGCCATCTACTTAAATTCATTCTCGTGTTACTCGTCATTCAATTAAGTCTCATCCTTTTTCTGTTACTGTTCCTAAGTGCTCCAAAAACTCTTATTCGTCTAGTTTTTTTCCTCGAACATCAGTTCTTTGGAATTCGCTTCCTTCATCTTGCTTTCCTGATTCATATAATTTGCAATCTTTTAAGTCATCTGTCAATCGTTATCTTGCTCTACAACCTTCATCTTTTCTCTTCCAGTAACTTCCAACACTAATTAATGGTTGCATGCAGCCTTGTTGGAAGCAAAGATGTTAAAAAAAAAAAAAAAAAAGTTTTTTGTGAAAAGTTTTAGGTAATTAAAATATTGTTAGAAGTTATTATAGTGTTCTATGACGTAGTCTTACCACCCTACTCAACCACCCACTTACCAAAACTACCTACCCATCCACTCACCAAAAATGTCTTAATAATGACATTATATTTTATTGGAACTCTCCAGAAAATAGAATTTGTAAGATTTCAAAAATGATCCGAAAAACAATTTATTAGTTAGTATTGTACCAAATTGTAAAACATAGAACGCCACTTGAACAATAATAGAAGATCTCTTGATAATAATTTACATAGATTAGCCCCCATAGCCTTTGGTCTGTTATTTGTAGCTGTAGCTTTTATTTCTTACTATTTACAGGAAAATATTTGTTTGACACCAGTGCTCATTTAACGCTATAAGTTGCGTTGGTTTCAAATAGTTAATAGTTTAGGTTGCCTTGGTGTCAAATAGTTAACGCTATTGGTTGAGTTGGTCTTAAATAGTTAACATTATAATTTTCTTCTAGGTTGAAATTATAAGAAAGCTTAACAATATGATACGAATGGAGCAGCTCGTTTATAAAAAAAACTTTATAAATTTCACTAGAAAAATGGGCGCTAAAAGTCTTATGAGTCTTAAAGAAACAGACAGGTTGGTTTTTTTATTATAGCATAAAATGAAAAATAAAAAAATATTAAAATGTTTTTTTTTTTTTAGGCAAAGCTCTAAAATTTACAAGCAACTTTATTATTTATTAGTTGATTCGTATCCAACTCTTATTTTTTCTGGTTGATTTGTAATTAGATAGTTTTGATTTGTATCCAATTCTTATATTTGGATTTTTTTTATTTTTAAAAACAAATTTAATAGGTTTTAATTTTTTTATTAAAAATAAATTAAATGATTGTTCATGTTTATATTTGAGTGATAAAGAAAGGCTAGTAAAGCCAAACACAATAAAAAATATTTATCAGAATTTTGTATTTCTTTGTGAATATTTTTACAAAGATTTTTTTGAACCCCTTATATTTAAAACGATATGTGTAGGCTAACTTACTTCGTATTTCGGTATGTAGGCTAACTCCATGTTTGGGGTACTTTCAAAGAGTTGGGATAAAAATGCATAGTATCCAAATTTAAAAATAATAATTTATGGCGGTCAGGTAGAATTAGGAGTTAAATAGAAATAAAATTGCTTTTAACATAATGAAAAAAACCTCCAAAACAAAAAGTTTGTTTATCTAGATGCATATACACGGCAAAAACTCCTAAATAAATTAGTCAATAAAACAAAACAAATAAAATAAAGTTATAAAAACTGTATGAAACTATAAAAATAAAAAAAAGATAAAAACATCCTAAATTCATTGTTAAAGTTCGGTTTTGATTACAAACTTTATCGCGTAAGGCTCATTACGAATTTTATCAGTGCAAAGGATCTTCTTTTGGTAAAGTTAACAAATCGTCGAAACTTCATCAAGATTTCCTTCAAGATTGGCCAAGATTTAGGCAAAACGATAGTTAACCAGAGTACATAGGAAATAGTTAATAATCTCTATAAATTATATTAAATTAAAATTCTTTTTCCTATCTATTTCTATTGCATTTAAAGACTCTTGAAAAATAGGATGGGATAAGTTCAATCTTATATTTCAGCATGAACAAAAAATGTTAATAAATGTTAACTATTAAAACGTTTAATGGATTAGGAAGTTTTAAAAAAAGGTTTAGAATAAAATGAATAATAAATGAATTTTTTAGAGACTATGCTTGTGTCGTGTTTTTATGTCAATAGAATACTACTAGGTTTGATCTATGGGTGCTTGCCCATGCTATATTACCATGCATATAATAGGTTTGTATGAAAGAGAAATAAAGATTTTTTAAATTTTCTTGGGATAATATTGGTGTAGCTGTGTATAGCAAAAGTTATTTCTTAATTATTATATAAAATGTAATGTGGTCTTTTCATAAAGTTTTATTATCGATAAGTATCCTAAAAAAAATTCCTAGAAAAATGTGCTCCCGTCAAAAGATCATTTATATTATAAATAGGATACAACAGGATTTTTATTTGAATATTGTTATTAGTTTGATATTTATGTAATTTATGTAAAACTATTCGCTCAAGAAGTTTAGAAAAGACAGAAATAGTTGAAATGGACTTAAAGTTATTTATTGAAAATAAATCGCCAGTTTTTAATATTGGTACAACTTTTTTAATATTGTTTTTAATATTGGTACATTTTTTTTTTATTAAATTTAATTTTAATTTAATTTTAGTTTTTAATTTGTTTTTAATCTTGGTACAGTTTTTAATATTGGTACAAAATTTTTAATTTATCTGGAACAGTTCCTGTTATAATTAAAGATTTATAATAACAGAGTATGGGTTTTTTTATCAACGGAAAGACACTTAATATTACATAGCCACAAATCTCATCGATTCCTGGTGCTTTTTTAATTTTCAGGGAGTTTTTTGTAACTTCTACTTCATCATTATCAGAGTTTCCAATCCGTTTTAACCGATAACCAAAAACAGCGGATTTTTGTCACAACTGATATAAATGAAAACCGCCAGTCTTCAAAAACGGTTTTAGCAGTTTTTTGTTTATGTTTTTTGAATGTTTATTTATTAGAAAAAATGTATAAAAATCAAATTTGTGTGTAATTGAATGTTTATTTTATTATTGAGATTGTATTTTGCTGGAAGGCTTAACATGTCTTTTCATTTTTAAAATTATTCATGTATTCCAAAAAAAAAATTTCAAATATCGAATCAAATACCCAAATATATTCAAATATAAAGTATTCGAATGCTCAAATAGGAATGGCCTATTCTTCTAGAAATAAGGTGGCCTATTCTTGTAGAAATAGGATGGCCTATTATTTTAGAAATAGGTTGGCCTATTATTTTAGAAATAAGATAGCTCATTCTGTTAGAAAAAGGACGGCCTATTCTTTTAGAAATAGGAAGGCCTATTCTTTATGTTTAAGATTTTTATTCCTTAAAAAATGCATAGAGATGTTTTTAGTGTATATTTTGGTTCAATAAAATATTAATGTATAGGAGTGCAATAAAAATAATTCACGAAAATGTTTCTAATAATTAATTTTTTTAAAATATTAAAATTTTCCAGATAAATCATGTCATCAGTTTGAAAATTTGCTGCCCATCGTAAAATTCCAAATTCAAGAGATGTTGAAAGCATCTGAAATAGACCGGTTCTATCGTAACATGCTCCGGTGGATCCGCAACTACTTTGCGGAATCTTATTTTGCATCATGAAAATACTATCAATAGTCCTTCGACTGGAGAATCAAACGGTTATTAACAAAAACGAAATTGCATCTGGTCAGCTACAGATAGTGTTTCGATTAATACAATAGCTAACAACAAATTTATTCGCTCATCGATTCAACAATTTAAAGCATGTTAAATACACATCTATGAGGCACATAAGATACATTGGTGTCAACCTGCATGAAAGCAAGTGTAAGAAAACCTATAAAACTGGCGTCATTAGGATTTATGGTTCCTGTCCAGCTGAAAATTTAATTCAAAATACTAAGGATCATTTGAATTCATTTGCTGTCTGTATAGAAAGAGATGTAGCAGGTTTTACTCAAGAAAGTGTCGCAATCCATGGGAAGATCGTGCAATTAACAGACATTGTTGATCAGCTATGCTTTAATCATGCAATTCATCTTGGTGTATGCGTCACGTTATACAAAAAAAAAAAAAAAAGACAGAAACGAATGGTGATTGAGAAGAGGAAGTACATGGAGTTTAAAATGATAATTTAGTTTTGAATCAGTAAACAATGAGATTAATGTTGACTACCCTGAAATTTTGATGAATGCATGAAAAGTAGTGAAATTCATTAGTTCGTAACTAAATTTTGCAGAAGAAAGTTACGGAGGAATTTCGTAAAATAATCGAACTGCATCTGGATGTTCGTCATTGTTGGAATTCACTTTATTTCAACAACTGCGCCTTAGTTAAAAACTGAAAAATGTTTATTCTAGACATTTACTGAATTAAATGCTCCTAATGTAATCAACAAGATAGATTTGAGTCATTAACTTTATTACTTTAACTTCAGTGGGATTCCTTAGCAGTGGAGATGCAACGTTATTGACAGCAAATGCTGTTCTGCAATAGTATTTGCTATGAATACAGATATCGCATCTTTGTTGCATTCAAATTTAAAAAAGCACGTCGATAAAAGAATTAAAAAAAATGTTGTGCAGTTGTTAAGATGCCTAAAAGTTCCTTCAGTAGTTCCATTAAAAAATACTTTAAATTTTGCTGGAAAACTTGTGTTTAGGGATTTTGGATTTACTTCTAATGAAGTAAATCCAAAAACCCTAAAGCCAAAAATCCAAAAACCATTTCTCAACGTTTAATGAATTAAACTTTGAACAATGATTTTGAATCAGTATAATTTATTTAACCACAATCAAACATATATACAGGGAGGGGGAGGGGAGAAACTCCAATAGCTATATAAAAAATACTTAAAAGAAAGCAAAAAAGCAACTTTTTTTTTGCTTTTCTTTCTGTTGACAACAGTTATCGCGCAGATTTAAAACTACCAAAATTCTCTAAAATAATTTGTAGCAGTACTACAAATAATTTGTAGCAGCACTACAAATAATTTGTAGCAGTACTACAAATAATTTGTAGCAGTACTACAAATAATTTGTAGCAGTACTACAAATAATTTGTAGCAGTACTACAAACAAGTTTGCATAACAAGTTTATGGTTGAAAAAAGTAATTCATGAGTTTATTACCTAAATGCATCAATCTGAGTTTAGAAAAAGGGCTATTATTACCGATAACTATTCTACCAATGTTAATGCATTTTTATAGCTTCATAAAGCCTATACTGGAGATGGAAAACTGTTTATTTATCATCTAGTTATAAAGGAGTATTTAAAAAATATTTATTATTTAATCTGTCAATGTTAAATCTCTCAATGTCTGAGAGATTTAATATTGATTTTTTTCCACTCAACAATTTGCTTTTTATATTTTTATAAAAAATATAAAAAGCAACTTCTTAAATGTAAAAAAAAATTATCTTTTTTTTTATTTTAATTTAATTTTTTCAGAGACAAGGTTGAAGTTACTGCTGGGTTCATTGCAGGAAAATATATTTTGTATAGTTTATTAAAAAAAATCAATTACTAAACAAGAACTAAAAAGAAGCAAAAAAAAAAGTTAATTACCTGGTCACTTATCTTGGAAAAAACAAATAAGTTGTCAACCAATGTCAATCAATGATGTCAAATTGTCAATGTTGTTGATTTGTCAACAAATTGTCACACATTGGCAATATATGACGAACTAACTGCAGCTGCAGTATTGAGTTATTTTACTGAAAAAATAATGCAGCCAATTTTTATCATTGTTTCATATGTTGTTTATCACACTATATTCAAAGCAGAAACTCAATACATTTAACCAACTCAGCAATGTTTCTATGAAAGAGAATAAAAAACCCTCACTTTATAAAAATTTGTATTGATATTTGGTCAAAAGGTAAATATTTTACACCAACCAAACAAACTTTTCACGCTCTAAATACAACACTACAAGTAACTTTGTATCTTGCAATTAATTTGCTTAAAGAAGGATATGAATTTTTTTTTTCATCCAGTTTACAAAGTGGTCTTTAGTAAGTATTTATAACTGAACGATGGTATACTTATTTTGAATTTTTTATGAATATGCAATAGCAATATGCAATATGTCGGTGCTGACTTCACTTCTTTCTTCTTCTTCTCTTCTTCAAGTTTTCCAACTTTGGTCTTGAAAATTGTGTTTTCTTTTTCGACTATTGCTAGTCTCTCGAAAACCTGTTTAAGAGTTAGCGCAAGGGACTTTATTATAGCTGAGTTACTCTTAGTACCTCAACTATAATAAAGAGTGGATAGTTTGTTAGGTATGAGCAGCCAGTAATCTAGAAGATCTAAAGAATTTAGACTGAGTGAGTCAGTTTAGTCTTTTTTAAACTTTTTTAGTTTAAATTAACTTTCTGGAAAGAAGTATGTAGCAGATCATGCGGTCTGCTATTTTTTTCAATACTAAATTAAATTTTCACTTATAGATAAATTTAAAATATGATTCAATAATCTCTTGTTGTTCGGCTTTTATTACCTTAAAAAGTTTACAGCCCCTCAACCTGAGGTGGGTGCAAATTTTGCATGGTCATAATTTCAGAACACTAAGAGAGTAATAAATGAAATTCAATATCTTTCGATGAATACAAATTTGGTTTATGAATGCAAAAAAAAAAACAATTTTAACTAATTGATCATATATTTGGGGCTGGGAGAGTAACGTTTTAAAGTTTTTGTTGTTCCCAGTCTCCAATCACCGCAATTTTTTACATAATTTATTTATTCCTCATATATATGAATATACCTAAATGTGGAGCTTTTTTCATTTTTCAAAGTTGCATAGCTCAAACATCTAAATATGTTGTCGACGGCCTTGCATTGATAGTTATCTTTATAAATCGGTACAAAATAGGCCAGGCGAATAAAAAAAAGCAATTACTTTTACTCAGTAAATGATCCGGTTTACGTAAATAAAAACTTTATCAATTTTGCTCAAATTTTTATTCACGTAAAGGCGAGCAATTACTCAGCGATTTCGTAGTAAATTGCTTAACTTTAAGTGAATAAAATTTTCAACTATTTTACTCAAATTTTTATTTACGTAAAGCTGAACAATTATTCCAGAAACGCTGAGTTAAAGGAATTGCTTTTTTTTTAATCAACTGGCCTAATAACGTTTTAGAGTTTTTGTTGACATAACTACACCCGACGGGCATTTGTTTTTAAAAGTTACGATCTAAATGTATTTTAAATGTCTTTTAAACGTCTTTTAAACATTAATGTTTAAAAGACATTTAAAAAACGTTTAAAACACATTTAGAACGTAACTTTTAAAAACAAATGCCCGTCGGGCAGTGAAAAGCAAATTTGTTATATCATTTTAAAGAAGCTTTCACGTTTTACATAATAAAACGTTTTTAAATTTTGTTATGAAAATCCTTTTTAAAATCAGTTAACGTTGACATTAGATAGAAAAGCATTATTTGTAAAAAATTCGTCTAACAGTTAATTTAAAAATTTATAACAAGCATAAACATCTCACTTAAAATAAAGCTTATTTTAACACTAACTTTTATAAAAGGGCATTTCCATTTCTGTCAGTTTTTATTTTTCTTTGTTTTTACAATTAGAAGTTTGGAACTAAAGCAATATGCATACTATTATGATTATCTTAACAATTATAATATAAGTATTTTTATTATATTTTAGGTTACCTGAATGTTTAAATATATATATATATATATATATATATATATATATATATATATATATATATATATATATATATATATATATATATATATATATATATATATATATATATATATATATATATATATATATATATATATATATATATATATATATATATATATATATATATATATATATATATATATATATATATATATATATATATATATATATATATATATATATATATATATATACGAAACAACAGTGGACCGCTTAAAATATAAGTACACTGAAATTCCGCGATAAAATATTTGCTAGGTATTTGTTAAGGACCGGCAAATATTCGTTAAAATTCGGATTACGAAGTCTACTGAAAGGCGAAGTTGACTACGGCTTAGACTTTGGTGCCGAAGTTGAAATAGAAATTTCGGTTTTCAGTTAAATTCGGTAACAATTTTAAAACTTCATTTAACTTTCAGTTAAATTCGAAAGCTATAAAGTTTTTTTCAATTTATAAAAAAGAATTATAAAATATATTATATGTTTATGTATATCAACCTGCTTCTATTGGTTACAACCGTCTTTCAGAGTTGAGAGAGGGTTGTAACCAATATAAGAAATAGCTTGCTCGACTAAAGCGGTCCACTCAACTTTGGGAACATGAATTGGATAGATAGTAAAAAAATAAAAAAATCGTTCATGTTCGTTCAAAAAATTAAGAGTTGTAAAAATTCCATAACTTAAACTTTCATTATTACTCAATTTTTAGATTTTTTATTTTGACGCAAATTATTTTTTGTAAGCGTATACTTTTTAAATAAATTAAAATTTACTTGGCTTCATTTGTTCTATGTTAAGTTTTAAATTATGGTTAATTACAAGCTAAAAAATAATGACTTAAATTTATAAAAAATGATTATACAGCAACCACTGCGCAATTGTTAGAGTGCTGGCTTTAGAATTGTTAGAGTGTTTGCTTTAGAAGCAATTGACCTAGTAGGAAATTCGGTTTTCAGTTAAATTCGGTTTAGAAGTCCAAAATCGTCTTTCAGTTAAATTTGGGCTACATATACGGCTTAAATTAGTCTTTCAGTTAAATTCAGTATCCGCATATAATCTAAATTCGTCTTTCATATAACTTCGAATCTTAAAAAGTCCGACTTCGCCGGTCCCTAGTATTTGTGATAATTTGTTGAAACTGTAAAAACAAAAAAATATGTAAAAAATATTTTTAACTTTATTGTCTGATGAATGATTATTGACTGTTCATAGAGTCTCGAAATATCACTAATAACTAAATAAAGTTAGTATTGAATGTTTATCTCTTTAATAAGATAAATTGAAAAATACATTTATTTTTCATTCAAAAGGTTTTTTTTATTATTTCGATTTGTATAAAGATTACAAAACTTTTATAAAAACAATATCAAATCAAAATCTAAGTCTGTCTGAAGAAAGTTTTATTATATAAGATTATTTCACCATTATATATGAGATTATCTCACTCCTATATATAAGGTTATCTTACAAATATATTAGAGTATGAATAATAAAAAAAAAAAATTAAACTCAGTCAATAATCGAAATAATAAAGACGATTTTAATCAAGAGAAGCTATTAATAAAATAACAACACAAATAAAAAAAAAATAATAATAATAAAAAAATAAATAAAAAAAGTTTAAAATTAATAGATTACCTGTCCAAATCCAAACCCTCAGTCAATGTTTGTACAGTCCCTGCATGTTTTATCTATTTATGTTATTCAACGTAAGTACACTTCCTGTATGTTTTATCTACTTAAGGTTATTATTTTATCTACTTAATGGTATTAAAAGAATATCCGATCAAAATTTAATTTTTTACTTGCCATATTAGAATTATTTTATGGTCATTTTAATATTAGAATTAGTTTATGGTCATTTTAATAAATCTACTTATCATTTAATCAACTGATTTTTTTTATTACTCGACAAAAATAATCAGTTTACTGATCAAAATTTTCTTGTATCTAAATGATAAAATACTTATCATTTTGTTAGTCTAATCATTTACAATTGTTTGTGTAACGTAGTTGTTTTAGATGGTTAAAGCCACAAGAAAAAAAAATAATATAAAAAAGTTTGTTTAGTATAAATTGAAATCTGCTGAGAAAAGTCATTTCAGTGCAGCTAAACTAATATCAAGCTAGATATTAAAAGTATACATAAACGTCATTAGCAATGATGACTACGTTTATACTAATACATTAATTAGGTAACTTAACTAATTGTATAAGGTGCACATTGTAACATCTATTGCAACATTTATCTACTTTCTCTATGCTATCTTTCTAACTCTACTTCTTCTAAAACTATTCCTTTGTGCTTCTCGAATTCACTTACTCTCGGTCTGCAAAGCAGGTTATGATGCTCTTTAGAAATCTGAACCTGTCTTTGCGGGCCTTGGTAATGTGTCCTCTGTATGGCAACTTGCCGGAGGAGGATAAACAATACCAAAAAATATCAAGTTAGATGAATTTGAAAAAAAAAAACTCCAACTCAGCTAAAAGAGCTTTCACCCCTTTATGCGCAGCTGCTAAGACATTGGTTTCATATAAAAAATATTTTAAATTCCTCCATTTTTAATGTTGAAGAAATTTTGAACCAATCTCTGTTTTTAAATAAATTTATAAAAAAGTAAAAAGTTTTAAGTTTTTTTATTCCTAAAAAAGTGCACCTTAAAAACAATATTGTAAATTTTTTGTATATTTATATTTTTTTAAATCTTTTAAATTTTAATTTTTTCAAGAATTTTTATTTTAATTGTATTTTCGTTTATATAAGTACTGTCTTAGCCTTATATTTCAGTTTTTTTTTTCTTTTTTTTGCATATAGTTTCAAACGTTATTTTTATAAAACAATTTATATTTTTTTAGCGATAACTTGTAACGATACTTACATTTTGTTTACTATAATTTAACAATATTTTAACGAAAAGAATTAATCGTCATATTTATATGATGAAAAAAGATATCATATATGTAATTATATATTTAATGTGAACGTGATGTCGTCATGACGTTATTACTATAACATGATGTCATGACGACATCATTATTATAATAAAATTATTTTATGACAGCATCATCATGACATGACGTCATTAGAAAAATGAATTGAAATTAGTTTTTATACTCAAAGATTATCTTGAATCACAAAATTTAATGAGCTCAGTTCAATTGTATAAATAACTTTAAGTTTATTTTGCTATTTCTTGCTATGGGATTTGTTTGTGTGTTACAAGCTAAAGCATAATATGGCTTGTCAAGTTTTTTGTTTGCAGCTTTTTTTTTAGTTTAATTAAACAAGTTGAATTCACAGCATTAGCATAATTATAAAAATCAGAAATTAATATTTTTTTTACTGTTGTATTATTCTATGCAAGTCAATGGAGATAAAGTTCACGAGGATTTATTGATTTGTTTTTTTGCTTTTTTAATTGGTCATGTTGAAGTATCGTTAAAATTCTTATCAAAATCTATAAAAAAATCTTTTGTTTGTAATTATAATTAATTTTTTTTGTTTAATCAGGTCATTATTTTTGTTTACTATTAACCTATAAATAATAGATTAAGGTTATATTTTATCTTTTTAATTCTTTTTTTTGAGGAATCATGGCTCATTTTTCAAGTTCTCTAATTTATTTTAATTCTATATATATTTTATTTGCTCCTATTTCGTAAATGATTGTATCGAACTCAAAATATGCTGGTAATTTTTTTGGAGATTGAAAATGAGCTAATTTAAGTTTTGGTGATCTCTCTTTTAACGTTTTTTGATGTTATGTCTGTTCAATGTAATTGTTTATGTTACAGAGGTAGAAAGATCCCAAACATAGAAAATATCCCAGAGATAGGAAGATCCCAAAGCATAGCAAGGGAAAAGCCCGCAACCCCAAGAACTATAGTATATAGTTCTTTCAAAGTAGGGAGGAAATAAAATATTTGTTAAAAATATATGTTTTTCCTAATAATTAAAATTTATTAATTTTTTGGAGGGTCTAGACCCCCCTGGCTCCCCGTGGTTACGGCTCTGATGTTATCATGCTTTTTGGAATTGTTGTAATGTTTTTTTAAAATAGTTATTTTAGCCTATTATTTATTTTTTATTAATATTTGTCATTTATGATTTATATGATATATTACTTTTGGAGAAATTATTATTTAGAGAACAAAACGATGAATACATAGAAAAAAAAAAAAAAAAAAGTTTGTTTTTCTTTAAAAAAAACTTAAAAATTTAAGGTGGAAAGCTGGTAAAAAAATTAGAATGTTTAATATTTATTATTTGAAACTCAAATTAACACACAACAGTCATCATAAAAATGAATATTACAAACAAAAAAAATTTTCGAAAAATAAATTATTTTTTGATGAGTCAGCAAAAATTTTAAAAATTAGCTGAAAAGCTAAACACGATTGTTAAGAGATTTATAACTAGTACCAGTATGAAATTTGCTACAGTAAAAGAATATATAATGATCAAGTGCCTAAAGCAAAATTTTTAAAAATTGATTAATCGTTCCAATATGGCGGAGATTCTTTTAACTTTAATTTTTTTAGATAAATAGTTCAATGCTCAGTGACTGATTTCTCATATATATAGCTTTATTCTGCTTTAGACACTAGTGTTCTATAAGTTAAACAAGAGTTAAAAATTTCAAGAAGAAAACTCAAATGGATCTTTCAAAATCTATGTTTTCGTAAACCTACAACAAGATTTCAGAAAACCAAGAAAACAATGCATAAAAAAAAAAGTCTCCTAGTTGATTCCTCACCTTCTAGTTCTTTTTCTTTGTCTAAATAACCTTTCCTCTTTGGTTTAATCAGTTTTCTTCTTTCCAAACTCTTTTTGGTTGATTTTTTATTCATATTTTGAATCCCAAGTCTTTTTTGATTGAACCTATAATTGTTTTTGTTCCAAAAGGCAATTTAATTTTATCAAAAATTCATACATGTCCAGATACGCCATCATTAAAACTTATTATTGCAGATGCAACTTCAATTTCTAAAGTGGTTTTTGAAACAAAAGTTTCTTTTGGACATCTTTTCCACATAATTTGATTCAGAGCCTCATTTGGGTTTTGAGTAGATCTATCTAAACAGCAACTCAAAAGATTACCGCTACGTAAATCCTTAAAAAGTGGGTAGATTACAGTTTTTACTGCAAATGGTAGACTAAACTGATAGTTTGTACCGCTTGATATTTTTCCAGTAACCAACATCAACCAACAATTACACCAACTAACATTAGTGCGGGGACAAAACTGGTGACGGACTCCAGGATCTTCAATATTAGCGTACCGCAAAAATTTGAAAACAAAATTTTTACCATACCCTAAAAAACCTTGTTTTTTCAAATAAAAAAAAAAAAAATACAATGACAGTATATATTTTGAAATCTATGATAAATTTTGAATACAAAGCAGTTAAAAAAATCCTAATTTTTCATGTTTTTTTTACCAGCTTACTACCTTAATAGCGTTTATTTATTTATATTGAAACCGATTTGTTTATGAAAGATGTTAATGATCAAATAGCAACGTTTTATCCCTATTTATGTATTAAGTGCTTCCACAGCTAATTAAAAACCGTAAGAGTCATTTATTTTTGAAGTATACATTTTAGTTTTTGTCATATTTATTTTACTGTATTATTTTAAATATACTTAAATATACTATTTAAATATACTTTAAATAAACCTACATTTCACTACATTTCAAATTTTACCAAAAAGCGAGTTTTTTTGACTAATTTTTTTTAATCGAGAGTTTCTAGAACTCAAAAATCATTTTTTTATTTAGAGTTCCTTCGAGTTAACATTTTTTATATATGAAAGTACCTTTTGAGGTAATCTAAAGCATAATTTTTTTCAGATATTTTTATTTAGTGAACTTCAAGATTATTTTTTCATATTTTATTTGTTAAACTTTTTATAGTGACATAAATCATGTTTCACTTATTTTATTTTTCAATTAAAACAAAAGACTACATAGATTTATATTATCAAGAGACTAATAAATTTAATTTCATTATAATGCAAAGGTGGGAAAATTGTGTATAAAAATATATTTATTAGTTTAATTTCATTTTCTTCCTACTTGATTTTTGAGATTTTAAAATGACACAAGAAATCGTTTTTTTTTAAAGCTAATAAATATATCTCAGTTTAATTTTTTTTTTATTATACAGCCATAATTTGCAGCAATACCAGAGGTTGTTATTGCTGTTAACAACAGCAATAAAAACCCTAACTGAAGCAGTAGTTGGTATAATATTTTGTAGTTTTCATATGTGTTTTCATTAAGCAAAGGTGATGACTGTCCTACCATGCATAGGAGGGGTTACCCATTTAGAAAGTACAATAAAAAAGGGGAAAAGCGTCGCAAAACACTTAACTACATCTACAATTAGTATTTCTGTAGTTTGTTAATCTACTAATTTTATAATTTTTTATTATATATTTTTATTTTTTATAATATTTAAACAATTTTTGTAGATAATTTTTTTTTGTTAATAATTTTTTTTTGTTGATAATTTTTTTTTGTTGATAATTTTTTTTTGTTGATAATTTTTTTTTGTTGATAATTTTTTTTTTGTTGATAAATATTTTTTGGAACCGTAACGGGTTACTTTAGCCAGCGGGGTTATTTTGTGCCATTTTTAAAAGTTTAATTAAACATCAGAAACTTTAAAACAGTTAGGGAAAAGGCGACTATGATGGCATACTTAACTTTGTAGCTTCATTATTCAGTATCCTGAAAACCAATAATAAAAGTTTTGATATGTATACATTCCTTGTTACAAGTAAAACAACAATAACTCTCGGATTTTTTATCAGTTTAGTTTTTTTTATAAGTTTTTCCTATTTAAAAAAAAGCATAACTATGCCATCATAGGCAACTGCTTCTCCTATGATGGCAAATAGAAGCATAGGCTGGTTAGGATCAAGGGTAACTTGATGATTTCATTTAACCTCAGAGTCTTCCCTCAGAAATGCCAGAAATTACTCGGAACTATCCTTATTTACCATTTCATGCTCATATCCTTATTTTCCATTTCACACACAGCAGAATTGTAAAGTTTTGCGCATGTGCATAGGATATATTGCGTTTTATGCATTTTTTGGTCCAAAAAAAACTTTTGGATCATCGCTTTCTCTTTACTTTACTTAAAAATAAGTTTTTCTTATAAAAAAAAAAGGTTTGCCAAAATCGCCAATATTGCAACACACTCAACTCGTCAGTACGCCATCATAGGAAGAAGTCATCTTTTTCATTAAAACAAGCTGTGTCTGCCTTATTCAAAACATAAAATTAAATTAAGTGTTTTGCTAAACGCATAAAACTTGCATATAAAATGCATAAAAATTCCCTTTCTGCGTAGTCAATAATAAAATCACAATACTAAATATATGAAGGGAATAAAACTATAACAGCACACCCCCCAAATTGATATTTGCTGATTATAAAATCAATATTTGTGCACAAGGGACGTATTTTCACTAAAACTAATTTCAAGTAAGTTTATTCATGTAGATCTAATCACTTTTTCACAAAAACTAATTTTTATGGAAATATGACCGGTATGCCATCATAGGCGATATGCCATCATAGGCGCCTTTCCCCTAAGTAACATTTTACTATTTTAAAATAGCAACGTTACTTAACTGTTTAAAAGTTACAGATGTTTAATTAAACTTTTAAAAATGGCAAAAAGTAACCCGTGTAACGGTATTTTGTTATGTTTTATTGTTGGTATATTAAAAAAATTTTGTAAAGAAGGTAATTTTTTGTTCCTTATTGTATTTTGATTTATATGATTATTTTGTTACGTTTTGTTTATTTGTTATTTTTTTATTTGTTTAAAAATATATACTTCCTTTCTTTATTTGCATATTTTTTTAAATATATATATTTTAAATTTTGATACATATTATGTACAGTCAATAAGTAAATAAATTTTGTTTCAAATATATAGAATAAAAAAGGGTACGATTTATAAGTACGCATAGTTCCGTATTTGGCCCATTTAAGATTTTAATAGTTGCCACTAGGCTAAAACCAAACAGTATCAACTTAATGGTTTATTTCCATTTAATTTTTGAAATGAAGGAATCAAAAATCTTTTTGATTTCTGGACGTAAAAAGAGATAACAAAAAAGCGACTATGCTAGGAACCTCTATCGACTGTCACTGTTTTGACTTATGATATACCTGCTTTCTAACAACTCCGTAACTAACCAAAAGGCAGATTCAGCACACCAGCAACAACTCCCTTGACAATGGTTTAAACATTGCTGCAACAACTTAAATAAAATCTGGAAGATGCACTCATGAAATTGTTTAATTAGGGTTTGGTGGAGATTTAGAGGCGGTGGTAAGTTAAACATCAGGGGCTGTATTCTCA